CAAAAAAGCGAGTCATTCCAGCGTTGGCAGCGACGGTGAACGTGTATGTCTGCGGCTGTGTCCTAGTTCTGTGAGAAACATGCAAGAGTGGATTATTTGTGTACTTTAATACAGATTGTGAGTGACTAAGCGGAATCGCTGATTAACAGTAAACTTTGACGGTGACGACAGCCGTAATTTTTTTAAAAGAGGTAAGTTAATGAAATCGTACCTCTCATTTGATTTTTATCAAGCAGCTAATATATATATAATATATATATATATATATATATATATAATATATATATATATATATATATATATATATAATATATATATATATATATAATATATATATATACATATGTATATATACTGGGAATGCTAAAAGACCCTCGAAATGTTCTCCATGAAATGTAGACGAGAAAGATGCATTACAATTTACTCTTGGAAAATTCTGAATTAATTGGTTGCAAATCTCCACACCGAAATCACTCCCTACAAAAGCAAGAGGTTCAGCAGTCTGTGCAAAATTCCCAAAGTAAAGAGAAGGGACTCAACAATCTGAGAGGGAACTCACTGAGTGCAACTTAAGCCAAGACTTTTCAAGCATCTTTCCTTCACTCATAAGGAAAACTTACTAACAAACCCCTCGCTACCTTTAATAGGGAATTTGACAAGTTCCTCAAGCTGGTCCCTGATTAGCCGGACTGCAGTGCCCGTGTTGAACTGCATGCGACTAGCACTAACAGCCTGGTTGATTAAGCAAATCGTAGGCCTGACCTGAGACCTGACTTTGAGGGCAGTGACACATCTTCAGTAGTCATCTTCAGGTAACCCTTCAAGTGGGGGATTCCATGATGCCAGTGAAAGACACTTGATGGAAGGAATTGGAGTTACCTCGTCAGTGGATCGAACCTGATTCATCCCATTCCCAAGCGCTATAAATTCCCAGGGATCTTAAAATAATAAAAATCCTATGGTTATACTTCAACTTTGGTAAGGCCTCATTTAGATTATGCTGCCCCTCAAGGAAGTTTCCTTGAGGGGCAGGAGACCCTAAATCAAGAAACCCTCACGCTGGTGAGGGTCTCTTGATTTAGGGAATTGGATCTGTGTTCCAGTTCCCTGAATTAAGCCTGAATACCTTCCACATCCCTCCACAGGCACTGTATAATCCTACGGGTTTAGCACTTTCCCTTTATAACATTTAGATTATTCTGCTCAGTTTTGGCCTCCGTATTTACAGAAGGCTTGCGCAATGAATATAATTTATAATATTTAAGCGCGGCAAGCAATAACAGCCTGGTTGATCAGACCCTGATCCACCATGAGGCCAAGTCTCAGACCGGGCCGCGGGGGCGTTGACCCCTGAAACCCTCTCCAGGTAAACTCCAGGTAAACAGGAAAGATGCATTCTTTATTATATTCCATTTTTTAATACTTGATATATTTTTATACTCGAGTAGTTGTACTGTTGTTCTGTGTGAGGGAACTTTGCTGTCCTGAAAATTCTTCCTAACGCTGCAGGATGTAGTAAGTCTGAATTAGGCACAATTATTCCGGTTTGCGGTGACCGTCAGCCCCTGACCACTCCGTTCCTCCCCCCCTAATCCTCCTACACTCAAAACTACCTCACCCCTTCACCACATCAGCCTCATCTTTCTTCCCTCGCGGACCTCCCTTACTCTTTTAACCTAGATAGTGTACTTCTAGATTGTATCTTTGATCCGTACATGAAACCATATTATTAATCAATTGCGTGTGTGACTGGTGATATCTTAATTGGATGAAATTATCTTGCTACTACGACGTTTATTAAATTGCACCCTACTTACATGCTCGTGTGTAAGCACGTAATGTAAGTATATATAACTAGCTAATTAAAAGCCCTCCCAATTTTCATTCCAGTGATGGCAAACTTCGCAACACTTTCGAAATCGATTTAGCTTTTTACTACTGCGTGAATATAGGCCAATTTCATATTTTTGGTATTAGTTATTGTTTTAAAATCGAGATTTTTGGTAAAACAAAAATGCATTAACCACAAAACGAGTTATTACCATAAAATAAACATTTTATGGCATATGGAAATGTAGTCATAAACATATCACCCATGATATCGGAAATTCACGTTTTTCGAGCCTTGTTTAAAGTAATAAGTGATCGCTTAGCGAAGTATACATTTATTTTAGCTAAGTATACATACGTTTTAGCTAAGTATACATACGTTTTAGCTAAGTATACATACGTTTTAGCTAAGTATACATACGTTTTAGCTAAGTATACATACGTTTTAGCTAAGTATACATACGTTTTAGCTAATTATACATTTAACTGGATATACATTCATTTATCTAAGAATATTCTTTTTGGTGCCATATACCTTGACCAGAATATCGTACGTTTTTGTTTTAAGGTTAGTTGGTTTATTGGGTTTAAAGCCTACCGACTACACGATGGGTATTAAAGTTTCATGTCATCCATACACCACCAGTCAAAGTCGATACTATAATCCCCAATAGACCGGAAGGTAAGCTGTACGTACTGAGACATACACCCCTCCAAGTGTATATTTTATGCACTGCTGTTCTCAGTGTGCACACATCAGGAGATTCCTCAGAACATAAACACAGCGCCTTGTCTTAAACGCCGGAAAAAGAATATAAAGTCACAAACAAGATTAGGAATATCCTGGTGGCACTTGTGGTTAGTGCAAGGTGGGTGATAGAGGTCACTCCAGCACGCTGTTCGTGCCTCTCCTCAGCCAGCTGGGATTTGACACCCAACTGCTGAGGTATATGTGACCCTGTCCTTGTCCCTCTCTTCCTCTTCCTCCTCTTCCTCATCCTCCTCTTCCTCCTTTCTCCCTCTTTCTTCTCTCACCCTACTCCAATTCTCAAGACCTCCGTGTTCTTCCCATCCACAGGCTCTTTCTCGTCTTTTTTCTTGCCTCTTTCTCTAATTATTATAATTATTTCTTTCCCTTCACCCCCAACCCCTGAAAGGATGACACCGAAGTCTGCAGATTCTGATCTAGGTCAAGTGCTTGGCTTTTTTTTTCTTGCATGTGTATTAGGTTGCAGCCTCATGTCTTGCTACATCCTCATATCAGTGGTTGTGTAGAGTATACAGCTTAGTGTTAAGGTTTCCTTCTTGATACCAGTGAATGCCCCTGATTACCTCCGAGCTACTAGAATAGGAAAACACGTGAAACCAATCAGAGGTATGTCACAGGTATTATTATATAGGGAAGCACAAATGTCAGGTGATAGTAACCATAATAATAATAATAATAATAATAATAATTGAATTAAAATTATTTTAGATAAATTTGTTTGGTGAACATTTGATGGCGTAATTTTACTATTTTTTTTACTTAAATCTTCCAGGCTAATCACTTTTGATACCTGTAAAGTGTTTCAGTTCCTGAACAGCCAGAGGCCAAATATATAATATATAAATATATAATATATAATAATATATAATATAATATATACCTTCACACTTCTCAGGCTCTCAGAGCGTGCAATGTTGCATTCTCACTGCCATAATCTAAAACTTACCCTCCCCTTTTCTGTTGCTGCCTTTGCAATTTGCCACTCCTGATGACGCACTGAGAGTGTGAAAGACTTGACCTAAAGTTCCAACCCCGCTGGCTGCTTCATTGTTAATCGCCTGTCTGCTATTTTTTGCATATGTGGTGTTAATTATATATAATTATATATATATATAATATATTAATATATATATAAATATATATATATATTTATATATAATATAATATGTCGTGCCGATGGGCAGACTGCGATCTTGGCTTAATAGCAACGCTCATCTCCATATAGACAAGTGAAATTTGTGTGCATAATTCGCCAAAATCATTCTGAACCTAACGAAAAAAATAATTCCACGTTGTTAGTATAAATTATTTAAAAATCTAAATATATTTAGTTGGTTTAGCTAAATAAATTTCTTGTTATAATAAGGTAGGAAAGTTTTCAAAGATTCTTTGGAGCCAAAATTAAAATTTTTAAAAAAATTATGAAAAAAATATATTTTAAACGTATAAGAAATTTTAGAAAGGACTAATTTAATGATTCTTGCAAATACCATTTTACATTTCGGCCGACATATATATATATATAGTATATTATATATATAAAATATATATAATAATATATTATATATATTATATATAATATATAATAATATATATATTAACATATTGCCGTTTCCCGCCAAAGTAGGTATATATAATTTAGTCAGTTAAAAAACTTTCTTTGGGTGATCTTTTCCCAGGATTCTCACCGGAATTTAGCTCTCCAGTTTAGTATTCAGCAGCTGAACTCCAGAACCAAACCCCCCCCGCAACTGATTTTCCCCTCCTGCCACCGTCTCCTTTATCATACCACCAGTGTATTTCCTCTTAATTTTCGCTTGAGTGCTTTGTCATTCCCTCTTCCTATATTTTTTTGTTCATTCTACCACTTTTCCATTGCTCATCCATTATTACTCACCTGCTTGTTTTACGAGGCGTATCTGGTTAAGCAACATTGGGAATTCTTAATTTTCCACATGAGACATTGAAGTAACCTTCATGCGTTTTTCTACTTGATGGACGGGCTTAGCCCTGTTTTGAGCAGAGCGTACATACATACCTTTTGCGAGATGACAGGATGTTGGCAATGAGACTCATTGTTCTCCTGATACAGGGGGGAGGGGTGAGAGGGGTAAAATATGTTGACTCCCTCAGAGAGGTATGGAGACAAATCGTAAAATCTTTGTGTGTGTACTCATCTACTTACTCACCTCTTTGTAGTTACAGTTGTTGAGTCACAGCTCCTCGCTCCGCCTCTGCTGGTCACTAATAGGTCCACTCACTGCTCCATGAGCTTTATCGTATCTCTTCTTAATGCCATGTATGGATCCTAGCTCCACTACATCACTCTCTGGATTGTTCCACTTCCTGACAACTCTGCTACTGAAGAAATACTTCTTAACATCCCTGTAACTCATCTGGGTTTTCAGCTACCAGTTGAGACCCCTTGTTGCTGTGTCCCCATCTCTGCAACATCCTATCTCTATCCACTTTGTCAATTCCTCTCTGTATTTTATGTCTTTATCATGTCCTTCCTATCCCTCTTGTCCTCCAGTGTCGTCAGGTTGATTTCCCTTAACCACTCCTCGCAGGACATATCCCTTAGCTTCGGGA